CACCGCACAGCTACCAGCTCCTTCACTGGGATAACTGGGAGCGTGGTGAACAGGCCTGGACTCTGCGTGCCAGGGCAGGCTGGCGGCATCTTCGACTGCTTAACTGTATAATAAATCCTCTCTATACATAATATAACTAACAAAATATATATCAAGTGTATGGCTCTGATTAAAACAGATGTTTGCACCGCATGCTCAACACAAGGAATTAGAAAATAGAAGGAAAACAGCTCAATTCTTTTACAAAAAGGTAGCAGCAAAAAGGTTTGCAAAAGTCTCACATAGGCTGGGTAGGAAACAGTCCAAACAGCGAATATTTCCCTTATTTGACGCTTTCCGACTATCCCTTCCAGGCAATAGTAGAGAATCCTCCACCAACTGCAGCTATCGCCTGATCCCATTGATTTGCCTTCTGTAGGACAGGATGGTTCTGGACTGACCCGGAGGGACAGCACCCACGGCACAGCCCACAGCACTGGTTACTGCTCACGGACGCCGAGCGTTGCACCCAGGAAAACACGGCACTGCACAACGTGCACAACGGCAAAACTCACCGGGCAAGGCTGGTTCGTGCAACGGCGTTACCAGGAGGGCACGCAATGGGATTTACAGACAGATTTAAACACATCGGATTCAACCCAGAGCCCTCCTGCTTCCCAGCCCAGCGCAAAGGCAACCTCAGCAATTCTGCTGGAGCTTGGAGTGTCCGGAAAAGTAAACAGCTCTGAAATGGAGCAGGCAGGCTGCCTGCATGGAAAGTCAGATCTTGGGCTGCATCCAGACAGATTTCAAAGTGTATTTTACTGCTGTCTGGGTCTGCCTTTGCCTGTAAAGGCTGGCTTTTGTTTGGTTCTCTTAATATTCAGTGCTGCGAGGGCGTTTTTGACAGCAGCACAAGACCCAGGGCAGTACTGCACTCCTCCTTGCCTTTCTGTACCGACTGGGGAAAAGAGCCTTAAGCCAGCAGAATCGTGAAGCAGTTCAGGGTTTGCTTCCTTCCCCCTGCAACATCCAAAGTGAGGAACTAACCTCACTACGGCGTGGGGAGCCAACACCAAGGGGCTTGGCTTTGGGCACTTTAAATTGGACTACAAACCCCAGGTTAAGAAGCCTCAGGAGGTGCCAGGGCTGCAGGCAGGGTGGCCACGGGGAACACAGATGGACAAGTCCCAGCTCTCCAGAACCAACATCTCCCGCGTTTCTCAAACACCTCTTGGTGCAAAAGCCTCCTGCCCTCCCCTTGGCTGAGCTCTCCTTTCAGAGGACTTAAGTTACTACCAGTTAAGTGGCTGTATCTGTGCTCCTGGGGGAATGAGATGTGTAGCAGGACCGTGCCCGACTGGAAGAAGTGAGCAGAGAGCCCGAGTGCTCACAAATGCTAATAAAGTGCATGAATGCAGAGACATCGGCTTCCTTCCTCCGAGGCTGGCACGGCCAGGGACAAGGATGCACTGTGCTGTGCTTCACCCATGTACCAGAGACTGGGACCAGCCCCGTGCACACAGCTGCATCTCCCAAAACCGATCCATCTACTGGGAGGCTGCTTCAGCCAGGAGATCCACGCTGGTGACCCCAAACCAACCTGTGATGGGTACCTGGGGTCCCCAGCCGTGCATCCACGTGCCAGAGCCCCTTCCCGATGCAAGAGCTAGCAGCTCCAACCCTGGCATCACCCACGTCCCGAGGCAGGACCTACCACACATCTCGACCTGTGCAACTGAGCACGTGAGGACAGTGACAGAGCGTGTAGGGGCACAGACCCAGCCCAGCCGAGGGGGACAGAGCCTGGGGTGTCACCTTCCAGCTAAGAGGTGGCATCCATGCAGACGGAGAGCATGGCGGCCTTTTGCTGTGCACCCCAGGAGGGAGACGCACGCCCAGCCCGACCGCAGGGAACCCAGCCCCAGAGCCCTTGGGAAACAGAGAGAGGGACAGTGTGGGGACCGGCTCTGCACGGAGGGGGCACGGGGTCCGGCAGCCAAGCGGAGCAGGCAGCTGGACGCGTGTGCTTCTCTGCTGGGGGGTTTTCCTGGGTGATAAGGCAAGGTGCTTGACGTTACGAGAAAAGCAGCCAAGTGCAGAGTGCTGGACGAGGGGCAGTGAGACTCAGTCTGTCTTTCCCAGCTTCGCAATCAGCTCGTCGCAGATCTTGGTCAGCTCCTCAATCTCCTGGTTCTGGAAGAAAAGCAGACCTTGAGGATCCCCGCGGCGGCACAGATGAGGGATAACACCCGGGCCCATCTGTCACTGAGCCAGCGCAGGAAGCGACAGCCAGCTCCTACGCCTGTCCATGCGAAAGCTCCTCTGTGCATCATCCAGGTGCCGTGGGGACCCTTGGGCTCAACCTTCCTCATCCCCGACAGACCCCAGTGCTGCCCAGCAGCAGCCCACCACGCTCCGCTCAGCCCACACGTGAGGAAGCTCTGCCCGTGATCCAGGGCAGCCAAACGCACGTCAGGCCTGAACCGGCAACCACGTCACTGCATGCAGCCACGGGCAGAGCCTGCATCCTCTTCCTTGCGAGAGGACACAGTTGTACATTTAAACAACAAGAAAAAAAACCAAACATAAAACACAAACAAAAAAAGACCCAAAAAACCAAAACCACAAAACACTTTCTGGGCCAAAACTCTCATGGAAACCTCCAGCACCAAGGGGATGCTCAGGGCAGCAAGATGGAAATCCAGAGCAAAGCCAGCATGGCTCGCAGAGTTGAGGTGGGGGGGTACGTTACCTTCTGCTGGAGGGCTCTCTCCAGGGACTCAACCTTCATCTGCTCCTTGCGCAGCCCAGCCTGCAGCGCCGCACTCTCCGCTTTGGCCTTTGTTCGCACCTGGGCGATCTCCTCGTTCGCTCTGCAGTGGGGTTTGGAGAGAAAGGGACAGTGGTCACATCTGGGCGCAGGTAGGAGAAGCACCGCGGCACAACGTTAGACTACGTGGTGTCGGCAGAGCCTGGCTCCTGCTTCCCTGGTTGCATCAGAGGTGGTTTTCCCATATGGAAAACCTGCATGAAACTGGATTAATTCAACTCCTCCAAACTCCTGTATGGACACTCGGCTTTCTCAGAGAGAAGTTAAATCAGTTCCTCACCAACTTCACTTGGGGCTACTATGTGTTGGTGAGCTACTGAGCCTCGGTAGCCGCACAACCCCTTTGCACACCACAAAGACGAGCCCTTTGAAACACAGGAACTTGTAAAATGACTGTAAATAGACCGTGAACCTCAGTTTCTCTGTTAAAAAAAAAAAACCACACTTAAGCAGAGATCAGAGAATCCATTCAGGGATTTACGCTGGCTTACTTACAGCCATTTAAAGTCACTTGAGCCTGAGGTTGTAAAAGGCAGCTTTTCACATCAATAAGCTCCTGCCTTCCAACCTCAGGAAAGCCAAACGGAGACACTGCCCTACAAGGTCTTTAAGCACCCAGCAATCTCAGGCATGCCCTTACTTGTCTAATTTTTCTTCTGCATGGACTTTCAGGGCCTGATATCGCTGCTCTTCTTGCTTGACCCGGTTTAAATAATCTTGAGCACACTTCTTCAGAGCTTCTTCATTCTGGGAGGGAAAAAAAAAACCACAAAGTACATCCATCTGCATTGGGACTGAGCACAGAGACGTTGCTCTGATGGGACGATACACCCTGTTCTGAGTGTAAAAGAAAAAGGCTTTAAATAGAACCAGCTTCTCCCTTATGCTGGAGTCCCTCATCCAGCTCGGCAGCATGGAAAAACCGGTGCGTAGACGGAAGCAGGGTTTCTCGGGACGTTTTGCCCTGGTGCCTGCTCTTCCCTTGGCCGCAGCTCTGCCCAGGGCACGATGCTCCGCTGACAGCAGCTCAGCAGGAGAGCATCGGGGAGGAGTACGGAAAAAAGCCCGCTCCCAAGAGAGCCTGGCTGCCTGCGGCATCTGAAAGACTCTTTGCTCATTTATCAGCGAGCAGGCAGAGGAAAGCAAGCGAGTAATCCTCGGGCCGGGGCATTTCAAAGCAACATCGCTTGGGACGGGAGGGACAAAGCTGGGGCAATGCCGCATGGGAACTCTGTGTTCAGGGACCAGGGCTGCAGGGAGAAAAGAGGAACCCAAGGTCAGGACCTTCTTAAAGCCTTCTAGGACACCCTTCAGGTTTTCATATCTCCTGAAGAGATCCGACAAGGACCTCTCCACCGAGTTTAGGTCTGCCAGAGCCTGGTCCTTTTCCATCGTCAGCTGCTGCAGGTTCTTCTGAGACGTCATGTTTGTCCTCTGCTCATCCTCTGTGATGGAGAATAAATAGCAAGGACACAGCGACTGAGCGGGGACAGCTGTGGCAGCCAGCTCCCTGCCCTGCATGCCCGGCCTGGCGATGGCACCTTACCTATCATCTGGGCAATGGTCTTCTCATACTCAGCCACAATTTTCCTAGAAGGAAGGGAGAAAAAAAAAACAACAAAAAAATCCACAACAGGTAAGAGGCAACAGTTTTTTGCTGCTAAGACCTCCCTCCAGCCGCTGCCGCTTGTGCCAGCGCAGCTAATAGGATTTTATTCCTGCAACAAAGGAACCAGGAGGCTCAACACAGCACAAGCACAAAGAGTACATGTCTCCTAACACATCCCACCCTGACAATGCTGAGCCGTATCATCCCATTACGGGGGGAACACACAGAGCACAGTGCAGGGGAGCAGGCAGGCGAACGTGCAAGAAAAAGGCTTTTACCTCATTTCTAAGACTTCTTGGCGGCTCTCTTCGTATTTCTTCTTCCACTCATTTGCTTCGATCTCCTTTGTGATTATCTAGGTTGCAGCAAACACAGGACCCTTGGGATGTGCTCTGGGTGGTTTCCCTTGCTGCCCCACGCGTGCGATGTGCAGGGGACCAGACCCCCACCCTGAGCAGAGCTGCTCCTGCTCCTCTCGCACCCACAGCAGGAGATGGGGGTCCGGCGAGGGGCAGCCCCGGGAGGATGCAGTCCCCAGCCGTTACCTCCTCTCTGATGAGCGTGAGCACGGCCGTCTTCTCAGATTCACTGAGGCAGATGCCGTCCAGAGGACTCTCGCTCCTGCTCACACTGGTGATGGCTGTGGAGGACTTGTCCATGGAGCATAGCCCCGGATTGACCTGGGGGGGGAATTATCCAGCTGGGATGCTGCGTGGGTTTTCTTTTCACTCTGCCTCCCCTGTTTGGGGTGTTCTCCCCCATTTTATCAGCCTCTGTTCAGGCACCAAGCCTCCCTACCTGCCCACACAGACAGCTCACAGCCTGGGATCAGACACCCAGCAGAGCCCGTATGGGATTTTTAGCGCATTTTCTGCTCAATCCCTTGCTGGGAGCCGGGGCTGAGCCATCAGACACTCCCGGGCTGCCCTGGGGAAGCAGTATCCCAAAGAGGAGACCCAGTAAGGGCCCATTTTGGAAGGAGGAGATCCAGCTGTGAGCAGGAATTTGCTCACGTCTGACATCCCTTCACTTTCCCCGTGGTTGGTTTAAAAATATCTCCAGCCTGAAGGATCTTTCCTGACTGCGAGGGTCCAAGTCGCCTGTCTCCATCACCTCCCAGTCAAGTGGGGACATCGTTGCAGCTCACACATCCCAATTACGACCAGCAGCTGCTGGGACATTTGCTGGGACTTGCTGATGGCCCTGAATGCACAAGGGAGCTGGCGGGGGGGAGCAGGCTTCACCTCCCCGCAGAGCAGGGGTTCAGCTGACCCCGTTCCAAGGCTGCTCCTGCTCCCCTTGGGACAGCCCCGCTCAGCCCACCATGTCCCAGCTGTCCGGGAGAGCTCCGAAACTGGAAATGCTCATGCAGGGCTCCCAGTACCCCCCCGTTTCCATTACGGGTGCTCCTACAAGGGCCAAGGTGGTGGTACCCCCATCGCTCATTGCTTTCTCCTCCGCAGAGCCCAGTTCCTCTGTACCAGTGCTGTAGCCACAGAGACCAAACTGGGGGAGGGGGGAGAGCTCAGCGCCATGACCCAAGCACCTGCCTGGATGCTGGCCCCATCCCTTCCCTTGGGGTGGGGGTCCTGCAGCCCAGAAGGCCTCCAGAAAAGCATTCCTTCAAACCGAGGCTTACACCACCGCCTGTTCCTCCTTTTATCATCGCAGCCGAAGTGACAGCCTTGTGCAGCCATCTCCTTGGGAACCAGCTGCCAAGCCATAAATAGAGAAGTGCTTCGGAGGAGGCAGTCGGCTTTTGCAGTGTTTTGGAAACGAGAGCACTAAAGCACTTCTTTCCCTCCCCTCCTCCCCTGCGCTTTCATCGCTGCTCAGGTTCAAGCACAACCAAGCCCTTCATGGCTCTCACAGCTCTGCTTGCCTGCAGCAGCGGGCAAGTGATGGCCGGTGGCAGTAGCCACCCCTAGAGCCACCCCTGGGTGCAGGTTTGGGTCCGGGCAGCCCAAAACTGGGGAGGTTCAGCCCTGTGTGGTTTTGGCAGCAGCCTCCCACAGCATCTCCAAAACACAAGTGTGCACCCGAACCCCTCCAAGTACCCCTGCCCACTGCCTATCCCACAGCAAATCCTCCCACGTCGGGGTTTTGGGATAACTCTGTCTCGTTTGCAGGAGCAGAGTCTTGCCCATGCTGTCCTGAGCACCAAACAAAAGGTTCACTTTGTCTAATGTCCTTGTGGGGCTTAGCGTAGTTAAATCTGTCTCAGAGAAGGTAATTTTGCTGATGTTGCTAAGCTCATTGTCATCTGCTCTCCACCTGGAGCAGCTTTGGCCAGGGCTCGCTAAGCTGGCACGGGGTCCCCTCTGCAGCAGAGGGGTCTTGAGGCCACTCCAACAGCTCCTCGGGGGTGTCCCTGTGCAGATGTGCCACAGCTGGGGTGCCAGGATCAGTGCTGGCTGCAGCGCCAAGTTTTTTTAATTAACCCCCCCATCTCTGCTGTCAGCTGCCTTCCTGAAAGCAGCATTTGAGGATCCCTTGCAGAACACACAGGCACCAACCGGCCATCAGAGCCAGCCCTGGACTCCTCAACATGAGACACAGCCCCTGGCCTGCAGCTCGTCCCTTCCCCATCATCTCCAATGCCCTTGCACCGTCATTCAGCCACTTCCAAACCCCACATTCGCTCTCGTTGCCCTCCCACGGCCACAGCCCCGGCTCCTCACCAGCCCCACTCCATCCCCAGCACCTCTCCCTCCCACAAGCAGCAGCACCCACCCGGGACAGAGCCATCCTCTGCCAGGCTTCTCCTGGCCTGCTGGGAAATCACCTCTATTTTTATCAAGTCCCCGCATGGGCTTTTCAAGACTTTTAGCTCCCCCAAAAAAACCCTCCTTTCAGAGAGGTTTTGGTAGCATTTCTGGGATTAACAGCAATGTTTGCTGCAGCTTCTTCCCACCCAGCAACAACTTTCAGTCCAGGCCACTTTCTCTGTCAGATTCCTCCTCGTTTGCAGGGTCTGGAGAAGGTTAGCAGCTGCAGTGCAGGAGGATCACCCTAACCCTAACCCTAGCACCAACCCTAGCACCACACCGGCACGGCTGCCCTGAGCCTCCCTGTAGACGAGGGAGAAGGAAGCAAGAGGAACTCACGGGGAAGATGCCAGGCCCATCTTTTTCCATTTGCTTGGAGATTTCCTTTTCAACGCCTAAAGACAAGAAATACAACCTTTTTAGCTACCTGGAAACAAGAGCCTTGCAGCACGTGCACGTTTTCTGGGATGCAGAGGGGTACCCCTGAGTCTCTGCATCCCCTGAGTTTCCCCTCCCAAAAGGCTCCTGCCCTTGGAAGGAGGACGCATCCTGCACCCCTGCCAGCACTCCCCAGAGTGGAAACCAACACTCCCCTCTGGTGGCAGTCCAGCCTTGTGCCATTGTCCCCACAGCTGCCACCCACCCCAGCCATTCCCGGAGACCGTGCCAGGACGAAGAGGGGGAATGAAGATGCACAGGACATTGTGCTGGCCAGCGCAGGCAGGATGCATCCTTGGGACCAAGCCCAGCTGCTTGGGCCACTCCGAATAGCACAAGGCTCAGCCCCCACCAACTGGGCCCAGCGTCCCCCAAAGGAGCTGCCACATGGCCCCTGCTATTCTTAACAGCAGCAGAGAGAAGCTAAAAGCCGTCTCCTCCCGTCTGTAACGTGCAGGACACCCTGGCGTCTCACATAGCATGGGAGAGAATTTATAAACCTCACTCTAACAACTGCAGACATGACGGGCCATTCATGTGGTAATCAGGCAGGGAAAAGCGTGTTGCGAGAGCCCAGCTCGGAAGGGAAGGAGGCAACGTAACGCTGATGAATGCAGATTTCCTACTATTTTCCCCCATTCATCCCTGTGCCCTGGTCAGGGGCTGCATGTCACAGCTCACAGCACCCATCCCTGCACCCAGCACCAAGCTTGTGCACCCCTGCCTGCCCCTCCGAGAGGTGCAGTGATAAAATAAAACCTCCCAGCCTCTCCACTGAGGAAAAATCAAATTTTTCCTCCCTTGAGAGACAAAGGACTGTTTTCCTCTCCCGAGAGCCTGCAGCTCTGCACGGCGTTCAGGAGAAATGATTAATGGGTACCCGCACCAGGGAAGAGCTGCAAACCTCCCATGCGGTGACTTCTCCTGCCTGCACCTATAACTTTGCCATTGATTAAATGTCAAATTGCTTGGCTTTTAATTATTTTTTAATGGATTGGTCAGAGAGGCTAATTACATAGGAGACTGCCAGCAAAATACCACCAGGAGCATTAGCGGAGATCTTCTGTCCTGACACTGAGATCTCCATCAACTACAGCCCTTGTGCTGGGACACCGAGGGCTGGCAACTCTGCTCCTGGCAGAGGCTTTGAGCAGGGCACCCTGAATCCCGGGAAGCAGGGCATGCATCAGGAGCATCCCAGCTGAACGGCGTGCAATTGCTCGGCTCACTGGTGAACACTGGTTTCAGGAGGGGACTCACAGCACGGCTGCGGGGCAATGTCCACCACGGGGAGGGAGCCTTGCCGGCCCGGGCCGTCTTACTGCAGCACCACGGGGAGAGTGCTCTGTACCGGGAGAGTCTAAATAAACACAGCCTGTACTATGATTTTTCCATAAAGGAAATAGTGCAGATAAGCAATTGGAGGTTTCATGATAACTTGCAGCAGCCGTTAGCCCTGTCAGTGTAAATAAACTGTGACGAATCTGCGCTGCTCAACAGCACCAATTCACTGCCAGAGGCTGTAGATTGCCGGGGTGCACGCACGGCAAGTCACCAGAGCCAGAGGCAGAGGGGATGCTCCTTACCTGCCTCTGTGCCGTGCTTCACCTCTGGCACGGGAACATTCGAGCACTCAAAGTACTCCAGGTCATCTTCTGGTTCACCCTTCTTCTCCAGCCCGGCTGGTTTCTGCACGGAGGTGGTGGAAGCCAGCTTCTCTTCATCAGTGGCATGTCCATCCCGATTTGCAATATCTGGGATTTTGGAGATCAACGCTCCTTCATCCTGCAGGATCAAGGCATGCGGTTAAGCAGGACTGAGCTAATCCACGGGGATCAGGCAGCCAGGTTGCTGGACAGTCCATGGAAAGCACAGGAGGCTTAGCATCCCCTGACAAGCTGCTCCTCACCAGCTCCTCGGCACGTTTTGGCAGAAGGAAACACATGGTGCCCGGAACAGAAGCACTTAACATGCAAAATCCATTAACCCAACCACAGCGCTCAGTGCTTCACTCTGGCCCACGCTGGCGACAGGGCTAAGATACCGCACGCACATGGTCCTTGACGAACCACACAGAATACAGAGAGCGTTTAATGGCCAGGAAACCCCCAGGGACAGGCCGATCCTGGGGGTAAGCACCAAGCAGAGCCCTCCTCCCTCCCTTCCCACCAGGATCTGCCCCTGGGGAAGACGTTCTCCCCACAGCAGGGAGCTGCTGCTTTCAGGGAACTGGCTCTTTGGCCGGGCATTGCTGCAGACACACGCCAACCTGAACCTCAGCCAGCCCAGTTCTCCCCACACCACCGTCCAGGCTGTCCCAGCATCCCTGCACCCAACCAGCACCTCCGAGGGGTCAGATCCCACGTACCTGGGTCAGATCCCACGTACCTGAGTGCAAACATCCAGGACCAGGGACTGCGTCTCGTATTGCTTCACCTTGCAGCCGCTCCTGCAGAAGAGAAAGAAGCAGCCAGCTGAGGTGTGGGCTCACGTGGGCTGCGTGGGGAGGAGGTGGGGGCACGTGCGACACAGCCCAAGCAAAGGGGAGGCAGCTCCAGCGCTAGCATTGCACCCTGCCGCGTGCCAGCAACCCCACTCACCAGTGAAATATCGAGGCAGAGCAAGTTCTGGAAGGAACAGAAGGAACAAGGAAACAAAACACAGGACTACAGAGCAATTGGGTTTGTCTTTTGAGGAGTTTATTCCTGTTGAAGGTAAGGATGGGAGAAAGGACCCCGAGGTGCTGACGGCGAGAGAGGCAATTGCCAAAGAAAGATTTCTCTTGCTGCACCCTCGCTCTGTGCATCCAGCGCGATGGCATCCCAAGGTCTCAGAGAACATTGATTTTTCTGCAGGAAGGAACCATTTCCAAGCCATCTCATGCCCTGTCCCTGTAGCTGGAGGTTTGTCTGGCACATCTCCACAGCACCCACTTTTCTCCCACATGAGTCAGACCCACACGGCAGGGGCAGACGGCTGCTGGTGAGAGAGCTCTGCTTTGCTTGCGGCAAAGCACCAGGGCAATCCGTTGTGCCTTGAACGCTCCCTCTGCCAGACGCAAATGCTGTCCCAAGGAGAAGGGTCTTGCAGACGGGAGAAGGTTTAGCTCAGGCTGATCTTGCAGGTGGTTCCGTGGCTGGATGGCCCTCCAGCAAGGAAGCTCTCCCTGGAACTTCATCCCACGTTCCTCAAAACATGCCATCCCGGAATCCAGCTGCACAGGACTGCAGGCACAGCCGCATCCTGACAACATCGGGCATCAGCATCTTGACTCAGCTCGAGGCAGTGGAGGGACAGCCCCAGCGGGAACGGCCATGTGTGGCACAGGGTCCATGCCACTGAAGCCCATGGGGCTGAGGGACTCAGCGACGAGATGAGGTCCATCACCACCCTGGCACACAAAGGAGAGCACAAGCTCTCCTCCCACATCTCACCACCCTCTCAACTCCACGTTTAGCAACCTCCCATGGCTCGCTGCCATGTCCGAACCCCCCAGAAGACAAATATTCGCTGAGCTGGAGACAACTCGTGTGACAGCCCACTGCGTATACCCGGGGAGGGATCTCTGCCTCCAGACTCAGTGCTCCCCACCACAGGGACATGGGCAGAGGCTCGAGCAGGATTGCAGCGAGTTGTTCCTAGGTTTAAAGAATCACCCTCGCCCACTTCATTCTCCAGCCTCCCTGTCCCATCGCAAACATGCACCAGCAGAGCACAATGAGCAACGTAGCCCGGCACACAGAAATTTTATTTGCACTCTAACATGCACATCTGGGTCAGACTGAAAAAAAAAAAATATTTGCTCTTGACTCTATTTCTCCATCATGCCCAAATGCAAGCAGCTAAACCGCAGCTCCTCATCCACCTCTGCTCTGCACCATCTCCTGGGGCCAGTGTTACCACACCATCTGGTTTGATCTCCCCCCTAACACCAAGATAACAGCTCTGTAATTCAAAGGGACAGGTAAAAGGGGAGACGAGAGCCAAAGCCGATGGTCCCAGCTCTGCCCCACAGCCCCCAAGGCCGGGACACGCTCAGCCAGTGTTTAGAGCTGGATAAACCCAAATGAGGGCACCGCTGCCTGCGTGCCTGCCTCGGACGCATGGGCAGACCCGCCGGCCTGCAGGTCCCCCTCGTACTAAGAGACAAACATCCACTGTTGAACGTCCTGCTGTAAAAAGGCAGATAGATCACTTCTCGGCCAAGACACAGATGTCAGCACTTGAGCCCAGCTCCAATTCTGTTCGTGCATATGGTAGGCGGCACTAAGCAGACAAGAAAGGCATTGGGACGGATGACATAAGATCAGGAACTAAGCGCAGCACGCTCCTTCCTACGACTCTCCCTGCACCAAAGCAGAGCCAGAGGGGCTGGGGGGGGGAGCTGACAATCTGCAGGAGACACCGAGCATCACCAGGAGACTAAATGGGGGTAACCCCAGTCCCTCCTGCATGCCCTCCCTGTGGGATGGAAGCACAGGGCAGCAGCAAGCCCTGGGGGTGGGGGGCACTCGATATTTCACTGGTCGCCCACTCCGGGGCTGCTCATGCCGGGGGTACAGCATGGCCCCACTGCAGCAGCGCAGGTCGCAGGGCAGCGAACGAAGGCTGCTTGACTCGAGCAGTGCTTTTGAACCCATCCAGGATCTCACAGACCAGCTCCGCTGCTCCAGCTTTGGGTACAGGAGGGGTGCTTCAGGGGAGAGCCACGAGCAAATCAGCTCTGGCAGCCCCCAAAAAGCTAAAGAGAGCCTTGTTTGGAGCTGGCTGCGAGGGCAAAGCTCCCCTGGGACTATCTGACATGCCGGAGCCGGACGAGATAGCCCCTCAACTCCCTCACCCCCCAGTTGATGCTTTCCACCCTACTCCTCTACAGCAGTTGCCTCCCTCATTTTCAGGACTAAAATCTACTCGTCTTCACAGGGACCTGAATTGTGCAGAAAGCTGCTCCCCCTCCATTAACCAACACACCAGTTTTGAGTATTTATCCAGCATCGAAAGGCATTGTGAGTCGGCATGCTGCGAGAGCAAGCACAGGCGCACGCCTCCGGTGCGGCTCTCTTCTCTTCTCCCTCACTCCCAGGGTCTGGCCAGGCTAAGCTGCTCCGGGGATCCAGCCTGAGAGATGCGGGATGTAAATCAGAGAGCAGAGAGCACGAGTCAAAGGGCAAGAAGGAGCCTGCATGCCATGGAGATGAGTAGGGCCAGCACACACCCAGAGAGAGAGGACAAAAACCAGCAAAGGAAAAGAAGAAATAGAGAACAGAGTACTTACAACAGAAAACAGAGAAATTTCACTTGTTCAGTGGTCCTGATGCACCAAAGCACAGACAGGGAGAGAGACAGACAGATGGAGAGAAGAAGAGCGTGTGAAAAGACCTGGATATAAACTCTCATTTGGAGAAGCACAGTGAGTTGCCCAGCTCTGTCTTTTTGGAAGGAACACACAAATCCAGGATGCTCTGATTCTGCAATTTCTATTCCCGGGGGCAGGGTGAGATTCAACTACAAATCCCGCTGCCGGGGAGGCAAACACTCAGAGCAGCCCGTGCTGCTTCGAGGTGATGGAGAGGGAGCCTGAAAATTCCCCCTCGCTTCCCCTCACCGCCAGCTCCTGCTCGCCCGTGGTCACATACTGGAACACCGACTCTTAAAAAAATCCATGTCAACTCTCTGCAAAGTATTTTTAAGAGAAAAACATCCAACATAGCCTTATTTTTGCCTGCTAGGTTTTATCTGCCCTCTCAGTAAAAACCCACTCCGGTTTTCCCACCAGAGAATCCGTCAGCAGAGCAACAGCTTCTTTCGGTTTTACAGCCAAATCAGCCACAAACTCTGTGCTCCTAAAATTTCCCCTTTTAAGCTTATTTCTTGCTTTTGCTTTCAACTGGTTCCAATTACCCGTGTTAAACGCCATCACAAATTCTAGCGGAAGGACCTAAAATTGGCTGGGCAAATTATTCTCTCGTGCAATATCCCCTCTGCTTCCCTTGCCCGCTCAGAGACCCCGCGGAGGGAGGGCAGGTAGAGCCAAGCCCGGCTTAGCAGCTGCTATCTTAAACGTCAGGCTGAGACTTCTGCCCTGCCCAGACACGGGTGGAAGGATATTTGTGATACAACAGGGGAAATACCAAGAAAATAGCAAGGTTTAGCCATTAAACCTGCTCCCAGAGGAGGAGAGTAATGCCATCTGCATTCCCCAGAGGCACTATGAAATGTCACCGTCAACATGGGGGTTTTTTAAATAGCACGATGCAGGAACTAAAAATGCAGCTCCCTACCGCCTGTGCAGATGTGCTAAAAGCAACACACAATCTGCCTGTCCAACCTCTATTCTCTTCCTCTGTTATAAAAAAACAAAAGAAAAAAAAAAAAAAGAGAGAAATTCAGTGACAGCTCACAAAATATCCCAAATATCCCAGCAGCATCTGGTTAACCACACCTACATCCACAAGCTCCACAAGACCTACAAACCCTCGTGCGTGCTTGGCAAACCCCGCAGGTTCAAACCTCCCTTGCAGATTTGCTCTGATCCCACAAGCCCCCAGCGCCTGCACCTCGACCCCACAAGCCAGAGCCCTGAGTGGTTTTCCAAAGAGGTGATCCTGCAAAGTGGGTCCCAATCCAGCCCTCCCTGCTCTGTCTGGGACCTGGGACACGGCTCTGGGACATCCATCCCTCTCCTCCCATCCGCTCTTGAGCAACTGGGGTACCCGCAGGGAGAGAGGAGCTGCCCCTCCGCCGCCACAAAGGGTGGATAAAACCGGGGCAGGAGCAGAACCTGAGGTGCACATCGGTATTTTGGGCTTGCTCAAAAATCACAGGGGCAGGAGCATCATCATCATCACCACCACCACCATCACTGCTGCTTTGCCCACACATGGGGGAACGGAGGGGGCTACCAGCCCCGAGCCGGCCGCCCGCTCCGCACGCACCGGCACTCACGTTATCAGGCGCGACTTGGGCTTCTTTGGGGAGTCTCTGTCTTTCACGAGGTCGTCCTGCACCTCCAGCGTCTGAGACTCGAGGATTTCGTTGAGGTTGTTATCGGCAGTGGGGCAGGAGTCGGCAGCGGTGCTGGCGAGGGTCTTGGTGGGCTTAAACGGATCCACTGAGTCAAAGTTATTGGGGTCAAACTGGTAAGAGCCCTTGGGGAGAGTCGGTGAGTTTTGCAGCGCTGAGCTACCACTGAAGGAGTTGAGACTTGGGCTGTCCCAGGGCACAGGACCCAGCCGGGGGGAGCCCCGGGGAGGCAGCAGCTCCGTGGGACCCCTCTCCGCATCCTCAGCTGGTTTCTTGGGGGACTCTCGGTGTCTCTTCGGGGTCAGCTTGCTGGCCGGGATCCTGCTGCCCTTCCTAGGTGCAGCTCTCCTGGCCTCTGCGCTCTCTCCTCCCTCCGTAAAATCAATCTCGGGCTTCAGGACCTGCCCTTTGGGCTCAG